TGTACATAAGTCATTTTAAAGTGTACTTACTTTGGGCAAAGCAGCAACCTGGTAAGCAGCTCTAGCAGGGAAACTACTCTTGAAATCTAAATTTAAAAGAATTTAGTTTTAGTTTGCAGACATTGTATTGTTACTCAAAACTGCATAATCAAGAATTTGGTAAGGGCTTCATAGATTAGTCAGTTCTTAGATATAAGCAATATTGAAAAAAGAAGTTCACATTCACATTTGTTTGATAAAATATTTTGCCATATGATTCCTATGACATTTAATACTTTTTGAAATGTCTTAGCTTTCTGGAAGAAAATGAAAATACGCACATACTCTGACACTTTGATCTTGTTTGATGTGAATGGGGTTTTGTTTTTAAAGTGATACTTACAAAATAGTTATCTAAATAGGGAACAGCTGCCCATCTCCAGCAAATTTTTTTTTTTTCCCCCTGGCAGGAACTTTCTCTGCTAACTTTGGTCTTCTCTAGCCAATTCTTTAGGAGAGAATAAGTAATGATGTTTTTTCCATGTTATACCTATCTCATCTCACCAGGTGGTAGTGACACCCATTTTCTCCACTAGGACAACAATGTTAATAATGATAGATTACATTTACTGAGTACTTACAACACACCAGCGTATGTTCTAATGTGTTTACATGTTGTATTAACTCATTTAAGCATTCCAACAATCCTATAAAGTTTTATCCCCATTTTGCATATGAGGAAACCAAGGCATAGAAATGTTAAGTAACTAACCAGCTAACGATTCTGAGAGAGCCAGAATAGAGATGGTGGCTAGACTATATCATAGCAATAATCAATACAATCTATGTGCTAAAAAATTATTAGGAGGGCTTAAAAAACCTGAGAAGGGTGTAACAAAATTAAGCTTTAGGAAAATGGATTTGTATGGTTGTAGCATATTATTCTAGGGAACACAATAGAAACGTCTTGGATCTTTCTTATGGGTGCACACGGTATGTTTCCAATCAGACTATTAATTCTTTTAGGACAGGATCTATGACTATTTCCTCAGCATTTCCTATCACTCAATTCATAATGGATACTCATTAAGGTTAACAGATTCATTTCTCTTTAAAACGGAAAATAGTAATAAAGCCAGATTACTTACACTGTTTGTAGATTTCGTTGACAGTATTGAAGTCATTTATGTCAGCCAGCAAAACAGTTGTTTTTACCACTAGAAGATATATACATTGTTATTAGGTTCAGCTATTTGGTCTGATCCAAAACATTACTTAGAAAAACAGTATATGGTCCTGTGACTGTCTTGATTAAAATGGGACTGAAATTAAAAGAAGTTTAAAAAGCAATAAAGATATGGCACAACATATTACTGGATGCCATGTGTTCTTCAAAAAGACCAAAGAAATATCAAACAGAAATGTGAAGTAATATCAAGTTGCTCACCGTTACTGAAGTCACAGCCTGCAGCTTTGAGAATTTCACCTATGTTGGTAAGAGCCTGTGAACCAAGGCAAGAAAGGCCTAAGGCACTGATGTCATTAAAGCTTTAATTCAATCCAATTAATCATCTTTTACTAATACCTCCTGAAATAGCCTATGTTGCAGAAAAATTCTCCCTTTCTAGGAAACTCTACTCTTTCAAGGCCACCTCCATCCAAGTGAATTGCTTCTTGGCTTTCCTTTTTTTGTGTGTGAGGAAGATCAGCCCTGAGCTAACATCCATGCCAATCCTCCTCTTTTTGCTGAAGAAGACTGGCCCTAGGCTAACATCTGTGCCTGTCTTCCTCTACTTTATATGGGACACCGCCACAGCATGGCCTAACAAGCGGTGCATCGGTGTGCGCCCGGGATCTGGGCCCGGGTAGCCAGCAGCAGAGCGTGCGCACTTAACCGCTACGCCATGGGGCTGGCCCCTTGGCTTTCCTTTAACAGAGTGAATCTTTCCAAAATATGGTGAGGAGGTGTCTCCTTTTGTGAGTAAAAAGATTGGACTGAAGTCTCTTCCTTAGTGCTAGAATGTGTGATATTCTCAATGTCCACTAAGCTGAAACAGAAATAATTTCTGGGGATCCTAATTCTATATCACTTTGAGGATAAGCAGGAGCTAGTAAACATTAAAACATGTTTTCTTTTAAAGCAATATTTGATTTTAAAGAGTTCTTTTTCTTTTTTCTCAAAAAAACAATATTAGTAAATTATGTATATGTTTGACACTCTGGCATTCAGAAAAACATCAGTTTTTCACCCTGTCCATAACTTATTATTTTTTCAATTCATTTTTCCTCTCCACTTTACTGGTCACATTATAAAATTTGACGGTATTTTTGTTTTTTAAAAAATAATCTTCTAAACAGATAATACATGGATATGGCAAACAAATTCAAAAGCTAAAAAAGCATATACAGTGAAAAGATGTCTCCCACCCTTATTCCTCCTCTCCCCAGTTTCCTTCATCAGAAGTAACCACTGTTTCTAGTTTCTTGTATATCCTTCCAGAGACAGTCAATGCTGGTACCAGCATAAATGTATATATCCTTAGACACACACACACAGATGGTAGCATATCATGCGTGCTGTTCTGCATCTTGGTCTTATTTTATCATGTAACAATTTATCTTGGAGATCTCTCCATATTAATTTAGTTGTATGGATCTACCATGATTTATTTAACTAGTTCCTTATGGATGGACATTTAGGTTGTTTTCTATCGTATTTTATAAACAACTCAGTGAATACATTACATTGTAATTTAATTCTATTTACTGGATTAGAACTGTATTCCCCATTCTTATTTAAATGAACATACTACATACAATATTTGATATTTCTCTCTTACTAACAAAATGTTGACTTTTACTTCTGTGGTGGGGTTTTTTTTTGGGGGGGGGGTCAGTGACCCTGATAAGAAAATTTCCCAATCCATGTGGAAATGGCAAGATGTTATCTGATTTCAAAAATTTCGAGTTTTTCCCCCAGTTTTATTGAGATATAATTGACATATAACATTGTGTTAGTTTTAGGTGTATAACATGATGATTTGATATATGTACATATTGTGAAAATGATTACCACAATAAGTTTAGTTAATATCCAATAATTCAGGTTTAAAGTCACTTTGGAAGGTGTAATCTTTTTTTTGGTTGTTAAATGATTCATCAGATTTCCAACTTTCTACTGACATAAAACTGTCTTAAATCAATCAGTAACTTAAAAAAGCATTTATCTGGTAATCTCTATAAAACAAATCAGCAAAGTGGATTCTTAATACTCCTCAATATTAAAAGCAGTAGAGAAGAGAACTTCAAGTGTGGAAAATGACTTACTTGTTTGGCTTCTTCTGCCACCCCTCCTGGCACAAGCTGTCCACTTGAAGGGTCCAGGCCTATCTGTCCTGAAACGTAAACGGTCTTGTCGACTAACACAGCTTGACTGCAATGAACAGAAATGCAGCATATATAAAAAATATAAATATGAAATTCAGTGCTGAAATATTTCTTTGTTAGGACACAAAGAGCACAAAATGTAAAATTTAAAAAATTGATAATTAGACTTCATTAAAATTAAAAACTTTTGCTTGTTGAAAGACATCTTTAAGAAAATAATCCAAGTCACAGATTGGGAGAAAATATTTGCAAAATATATATCTAACAAAGGACTTGTATCCAGAATACATAAAGAACTCATAACTCAATAATACGAAGACAACAACCCAATAAAAAGTGGACAAATGAGGGGCCGGCCTGGTGGCGCAAGCGGTTAAGTGCGTCCGCTCCGCTGCGGCGGCCCGGGGTTCACTGGTTCGGATCCCAGGCACGCACCGATGCACCGCTTGTCAAGCCATGCTGTGGCGGCGTCCCATATAATGTAGAGGAAGATGGGCACGGATGTTAGCCTAGGGCCAGTCTTCCTTAGCAAAAAGGGGAGGACAGGCAGATGTTAGCTCAGGGCTGATCTTCCTCACACACACACACACACACACACACACACACACACAAACACACACAAAATGGACAAATGATTTGAACAAAAACTTCACAAAAGAAGACATATGATGAGCTAAGGAGTATATGAAAGATGCTCAACATTATTAGTCATTAGAGAGATGCAAACCCAAACCACAATAAGATCCATTACACACAATAAGACATCACTGATGACAACAAGTATTGGTGAGGATGTGGAGCAACTGGAACCCTCATACACCGTTGGTGGGAATGCAAAATAGTACAGCCACTTTGGAAAACAGGTTGGCAGTTTCTTAAAAATTTCAACATACAACCCAGCAATTTCTTTCCTAGACAACTACCCAAAAGAAATGAAAACATAGTCCAAAGACTTCACATGAATGTTCATAACCGCATTATTCATAATAGCAAAAAACAAAAACAAAAAAACAACAAATAAACCCACCCACTAATAGATCCAACTAAAAACTACGTATTGATTGATTCCACTGATAAGAAATTCTTGGAAAGACAAAAAAATAGCAGCAGAAAGTAGATTAGTAGCTGCCTGGAGCCAGGGGTAGGGGTAGGGATTGACCACAAATGGGTACGAGGGACATTTTGGGGGGTGATGGAAATGTTCTAAAACTTGGCTGTGGTAGTAGATGCATGACTCTATATATTTATAATGTAACTCTACGCTTAAAATGGGTGGATTTTATATGCAACTTATACCTCAGTAAAGCTGTGAAACAAAAAAAATGCAATGCCAAGAGCACTCTGAGAAAATAAGTAATTATTCTCAGACAAGATAAACCACTGCTTGTTGCAGGGTCAATTAAGGATCCACCTGTGAGGATACACTTCATTTCTGCAGAGTGCTTTCTTGTGGAACTAACTTCTTCTGTAACGAGGATGCTCAATTTCAGAATAAGGATAAAATCACAGAAAAAAGAATAACCTATACTGAGACCTGAAAAGAGTCAAACAAATCAACTTTAAAGGAAATTTATTAGTTTTTGGATAAGGAGAATCCCTCTTTTTTTTTTAAAATTGTAGTAAAATATACAAAACATAAAATTTTCTGTTTTAACCATTTTTGGTATACTTAACCATTTTTAGGTATTCAGTGGCATTAAGTATCCCATTTTAAAAATATTGATCAAGAAACCTTAATATCACTTTAAATTTAGAAGTAAAATTAGTTTTACCATTTCCATGCTTATTTAGAAACAGGATATTCTCATTTCTAACCTTCTAGTTCTCTATATTTTGAGAGAACTATATTCTATATATTCTAGAACTGTATTCTATATATCTAGAACTATATTCTAGTTCTCAACATGCTCCAAACTTTCCTATCTTTTACTTCATGAAGTTTCCCCTGATTTTCTTGACCATATCTTTTTTCTTTATAATTTTAAATATAAAATTTATCGTTTTTTTCTTTATAATTTTCTGATTAAGAGGACATTCACATGGCTCAAAAACCCAGAAAATGTAAAAAGAATCACAGTGAAAAGTCTCCCTTCTGTCCTTATCTGCCATCTGCTCAGGTCCCAGCCCCTACAGATAACCATTGCTCTTCTTTATGTATTCTCAAGTTTCTTTGGAAACTTTATATATGTGAAGAAAATATATGAAGAAAAACGAATACAGATTTTCTTCCCCAGTTTGCACAACATATGGTATATTAAACACTTCTACACTTTGCTTTTTTCACTCAACGGTATATCATGATCTTTCCATAACTATTTGTAGAATGCTTCCTCATTCTTTTAACAGCTGCGTAGCATTTCATTGTATGGCATACTTTAACTGGTCACTATTGATTCCAATATTTTGTTATTGTAAAGAAAACTACACTCAAAGCCATCACACACGTACACATCATTTTCCCCGGGCAAATAACTAAGCCTTTCTTTCTTCTGAAGCCCAGAGGTTTATAGTGTGGCTCATAGTCTGGGCTTTGGAGAGCTGAAGAGGGTAGATTTAAACTTGGTAACAAGATTTAGATTGCCTAGGGGGGCCGGCCCCGTGGCTTAGCGGTTAAGTGCACGCGCTCCGCTACTGGCGGCCCGGGTTCGGATCCTGGGCACGCACCCACGCACTGCTTGTCCAGCCATGCTGAGGTGGCGTCCCACATACAGCAACTAGAAGGATGTGCAGCTACTGACATACAACTATCTACTGGGACTTTGGGGAGAAAAAGGGGAAAAAAAAAAAGGAAGAGGATTGGCAATAGATGTTAGCTCAGGGCCGGTCTTCCTCAGCAAAAAGAGGAAGATTGGCATGGATGTTAGCTCAGGGCTAATCTTCCTCACACACACACAAAAAACAAAAAAAATTAAAAAAAAAAAACATAAAAAAAAAGAAAGCCTAGGAATTCTTCTCAACTATCTGGCTTTCACCCTGGCCCCAAAATAGATAACTATTGAGTTTGTTAATGTGGAAGCTTTTCTCAGGTTGAATAATACCAGCTAACACTGTTTCTATCAACTGTCCTGTGTAAAATGAGGCTACTCTAGGCCCTTTGCAAAGTACCTTTAACTCTCCCCATATTTGAAACATAGTTTAAGCCCATATGCATTATCAATGCTCAAAAACTTTACGATAGTAAAAAGGAACTCATTTATCCTCAGAAAATGAAAAGTAAGCCCTGGACCTCTGAGACTATCTAAGCTATGTGAGTTATCTCTTACAGATTAGTAAAGAGATTGTTCACAAAAATAATTGGATAGCTGACCATTCCTGATCATAAGAATCCTGCTATCCACTGACAAGTCATTAGGCTCCAGAAAATTTAAAAGTGTATTGTTCTACTTCTAGGTCAAAGTGTAACTTTGAAAAGCATCCTAGTAATAATTCTCATATCATAATCTATGCCAAATGGACTATCACCTCAAGATTTTATGACTATTTAGATGGTGTGCTAGCAAAATGGAAAGCAATGCAATAGCAATGTGACGTCAAAATCTCTCAAGGTTCTGTCCTGGAGTGCTTCTGACACGTGCTGAGCTGATCAGCTAATTAGTGACAATACCCCATCCATCCCCATGCTACGGACTGAAAGTTCAACGCATCTGAATTCTTCCTGGAGAAGACCCAGAATTTTCAAAAAGTGTACTCACTACAAATTCCACGCACAAAAACTCGTTTCCAAATGGTTCTTAAAACATGTCCAATTAACTTTATCAGGATATAACCACCTAGCTGGAGTGCGTTTTTTCCTTCAACATAAAATACTGAAAATTAGCACCGCTGCTAGTGGCCATTTTTGGATGCAAAAAAGCAGAAGAGGCACAATGTCCTGGAAGGTCTCCACACAATGAAGCTGGTTGATGGCTTTTCTCAAGTCATACTGGTATATTCATATAACGATTCCTTCCTTTTTTGCTTGCAGCTTTATAAAGATAGTTGACTCTCACCTCCGAGTCAGCCAGGGGTATCACTGTCATGCTTTCTTTCTTGAACAACGTACACACTTGAGGAAGGTGTATGCTTCAGGCTCTATAATCACTTTTTTGTTTTTGTTAAGGGTTGCTTTTTGTTCTAAAGTAAAACCAGTGGATGACTGAGGGAGAGGGATCAGGGCAGAAATTGGAAAGATTATTGATTTTTACTTTTACTGTAATACCCCCTTAACTATTCTTATTGTCTTCTTCAAATTACTATCTGAATTCTCTTCTTAAAAGAGATCTGGCCCCCCTCCCCCCGTGGCCTAGTGGTTAAGTTTGGTGCGCTCCGCTTTGGTGGCCCAGGGTTTCATTCCTGGAAGAGGACGTACACCACTCACAGCAGCCTGCTGTGGCAGTGACCCCCATACAAACAGAGGAAGATTGGCACAGATGTTAGCTCAGGGCCAATCTTTCTCAAGTGAAAACAGGAGCATTGGCAACAGATGTTAGCTCAGGGCCAATCTTCCTTAGAAAAAAAAAAGAGATCTGATCATGTCAATTCCTCTTCAAAAACATTTGATGGCTCCTCACTGCATACCAAATAAAGTTTATGCTCTTCAGCCCAGCACTGGAAACCACCATAATCCAGACTTTGCTAAAAGCTAATTTTTAGCAAGAGGCAAAACAAAAATTCAAAGTCCAGCTCCTAACCAGTGTTTCACAAAGTACAGGCAATACACAAACATTGAATCACAGCAAGGGAATGATTCCCTTTTCAATGCTTTTTCAATTCTTCTGTGCAAGGGACAGAATGATTAAAGATCGAGCTCTGGAGCTCACAGCCTAAGGTGAATTTAGGTGTGACGGCCTAAATTCTGTCACACCACTTCCCAGTGGTGTGACTTTGAGCAAAACCTTGCATACATCAGATTCTTCATCCGAAAAATAGGGACTGTAATAGTAATTGGGCACATAAAGCACCTAGAACAGTGCCCAGTGCTGAGTAAGCATTAATAAATGTTCGCAATTATGACTTCAATCCTCTGATTACATGAAGGAGAAAAAAAAATTATTAGAAAACAAGTTAAAGAAACCTATCATTTTTTTTTTTTTTTTTTGCGAGGAGATCAGCCCTGTGCTAATGTCTGCCAATCCTCCTCTTTTTTTGCTGAGGAAGACTGGCCCTGGGCTAACATCCATGCCCATCTTCCTCCACTTTATATGGGACGCCGCCACAGCATGGCTTGCCAAGCAGTGCGTTGGTGCGTGCCCGGGATCAGAACCGGCGAGCCCCAGGCTGCTGCAGCAGAGCGCATCCACTTAACTGCTTGCACTGCTGGGCTGGCCCCAAGAAACCTATCACTTTTAACAAAAAGAGAGCAGGCTTTGGGTTCTGAGCCAACTGCAGTAAGCAGCTAGAATTTAATAACATTTTTTATTTAATTGAGTTTACTTTTTACTGTTACCTTCTATTAGGTTGTTTTCTATTTAAAGTACTGCTGTAAAGTTTCCTTTTTAAATCTGTTAAATAAAGTGAGCCATCTCAAAGAAAAGTGTTAAGTAAATTACAATATAGGTGGTACACAGATTTGGCAAAATAAAAAAATGACTAAGAGTGGTACTTGGATTACTAAACCTTCCTCCAAAAAATCTTTATGCCATGTATTCCTCCACCTCTATGCCTCAAGTCACTCCCTCCATCTGGAATGCCCTTCACCTCATGACTTCCTGTTGAAGTCCTTAACCAAGTAATTTAAAAATCAAACTTCACAACAGTACTGTAAATGGCAAACCCAACCTTCAAACCCAAATCAAGGACTACCTCTCACAAGGAGCCTTCTTATTTATTTATTTTTTGTGAGTAAGATCAGCCCTGAGCTAACATCCATGCCAATCCTCCTCTTTTTTTTGCTGAGGAAGACTGGCCCTGAGCTAAGATCTATTGCCAATCCTCGTTTTTTTCCCTTTTTCTCCCCAAAGCTCCAGTAGATAGTTGTATGTCATTGTTGCACATCCTTCTAGTTGCTGTATGTGGGACGCCGCCTCAGCATGGCCAGAGGAGTGGTGCGTTGGTGCGCGCCCAGGATCCAAACCCGGGTCGCCAGTAGCGGAGCGTGCGCACTTAACCGCTAAGCCATGGGGCCGGCCCCAACAAGGAGCCTTCTTAAATCTTCTTTTTCTCCCTCTGCCCCAAGTTAGCATCAATTTCTTTTCCTCTTTTGCCACTTTCCCTCCCCACTGCTTCCTCGCTCCCACTGCATTTTATTTGTAACCCTACTATAATAAATACAGTTCTGCCACATATAAGTGCTATTTCTCATGGCAGTGTGGTATAGAGGAGGGAGCTAGGGCTTGTTCAAATCAAGCTCTGTCACTTATAGACTGTCTGACCTTGGACAAGGTCACTTTGAGCTTCAGTTTTATTTTTACAAAAGGGGATGGGAGTTAGAGAAGGTGGTTGTCACGGTGCATGCCATACAGCATGCACTAAATTAAAATGTTTTTTTCTTTCCCTCATATGCGTGAATGTCTTTCACACTGGATGGCTTCTTAAACATTTTTGTATCCCCTGCAGTGCTTGGCACGTACCAGGTACTCAGTGCATGTCTGTCATAGCACAAATGTTTCAGCAGTAGAAGTTTTCCAGCC